AAACTAGAATCAAGTGACTATATTAATTTTATATAATTGTATTTTGCATTAGTATCATTAATTTGATACAAATTTCAATACTACTTACCAAATTAAACTTAATCCATAAAAAATTAAATTAAATTTACATAAATCGATATTAATATCAATTTAAATTTTTATTTTAAAATTATTTAATGGTACCTGAAATTAATACAATTCATTTGATTTTTGATATTATAAATTATTTTAATTTTTGAGTGAATAATGAAAATTAAGATTAACTATGATTCAATTAATCATCTAAATTTTTAATTTTGTATCAATAATAAAATCATATCAATTATTATCGATTATTCACTCCTTAATTACTTTTAACTTCAAATAAAAAGAATTATGAATGTCATTTTTAAGAGGACGATATTCAAATTATTATATTTAAAAAAATGAGAAACACAATTTTTTTGTAGTTCAGATTAACGTAATTGGTGTTTTTATTATTAAAGAGTTTATTTCCCTACTAAACATTCATAATTTTGATTTTTGACTTTCAAAGTATAAACATTGATTCTTTAATTAATAAAATTTAATTTCATTTGATTTTTTAAAATTTGTTTTGATCTAAAACGGAAAATCTTTGGATCTATTATATTATTTTTATAAAAATTGATTTAATTAATTATGTATGATTTTGTTTTATAAATCTTTTTAAAATAATCATATGTTTAATGGATTATGACATGGTACAAGAAACAAGAAAATTGAATTAACCTCTTCTCATAAAAATTTAAAGGTAATTTATTTTTATTTTAAATCTAATAAATAACATGAGATATTTGTTTAATTTTTAAATAAATTCTATTAAATAATTAAAATAATGCTAATTTAAATTCTCAAAATTATGAAAATTATAAAGTACTATTTATCAAATAATTTTTAATGTCTTTTCTTTAAACATTAAAATCATATCAAATCACATTGATTTTTGAATTTTAAAACATAATTATTTATCTATTATATCTATTATAAATATATAAAAATTAAAGTACTTGGAAAAGAATATTTTACTCTTCTGAAACCAAGTGCAAACTTTTCTTATTCAATGGGTAAATATGATTTTTCATTATTTTAAAGATTGTTATCGAAGAATAGGTTATAAGTTTGATTTTAATCTCCATGTTGAATTTGCATGAGCATATTTTACATAGTTTATTATATTTTTTGACAGGGTCCTGTCATACATTTTATGTTTGTAAAAAATATAAATATGATCTAATAAGAAGGTTTTAGGTTTGTAATTTGACGGGAAGCTGTCATACATTTTAAGTTTGGAAAAATAGGCTAATATCTAAAATAGGTTTAATAAATTTTTAGAATTAACTCATTTGAATTCAACTAGGGTTTGCTAACTCATCTGAGTTCACATATAAATACCAGCTGTAGATTGTTAATTTTAATATTCATCTTTTAAATATTTCTTTTGCTACTGTTTAATATAATTGAAGTTAGAGAATCGGTTGTACAGTTTATTATAAGTACGAACCAATGCTTAAAAAACAAGTGCATGTTATTAGCCTATATTTATAACTATGAAAATGTTAACCAATTTGAAAAATAAATTCATACTTTACAAAGGATAATTTAGTACACGTGTAATGTGAATCCAGACAGGACTCGTACGGTAGCACGGATTTCTTACTAGTTTAGAGATGACAATTTAACCCATACATTATAGTTACTCACAAAAAATTTGGTTAAAGTAAAAACCCGCAAAATAGATATGGTATTGACACAGACAATTACCCATTAAAATAAGTGGATATGGATACAGACACATATATTTTACTATCTATCCTGCATCATACTTGGACTACATATTTATATAATTTTATTTATATTAATATATGAAAGTGGACATTTATCATTTTTTTAAAAAAATATATCGCTATTAAACTCTTATACATTTTAGTAAAAATGTTTATTTATTTCTTAACTTAACAATAACATCCTTAATTTTCTTAATATTATTAAAAAAACTTAAATTATATGATATTTTATAATTTATTTATTAATTTTATTATAAATACGGATAAACGAGACGCATACTGAGATATTCATAAAGTAAATATTGATATCCAAATAGGTTAGAGCTTGGATATAGAATTTTTTTCAAGCAGAAATTTTTTCAAATAGCAGATATAAGAACAGATAATATAATACTCTATTCAAACCTGTTCATTACCGTCCCTATGTTTATTTATTAAATGGTACTAGTAATATTAAGAAAATATTTAATAGAAATATTTTTATTGATATTTAGAAAATTTGTTGCACTTATCGACTTTTTGTTTGTAATATTGTTGAATAATCCTGACTTTTGTGTAAATATGTTTAGTTTATATTTATTTGTGTTTTTGTGTATATAGTGTACTATTTGATGTTTTTCCATTCATTTTGTAGGTATTTGTTGTATTTTGGAGTATTGAGGAATAAGATTTCGAAGGCACGACTTCAGATGCGCGTTTTTGGAATAAAAGATCAGTTTTGGGACTTGCTGTCTAGGAGAGCCCGCTTAGCATGCATGAGGCCGCTAAGCATGAGTGGCGCTCAACGCATTTTGTAGCGCACTGCTTGCGTTTACTTTTTTGGCAGAACCAAAGTTTTGAAGCCCGCTTAGCGCAGTTTAGGTCAGTTTAGTGTGTAAATATCGTGCATCCCGCTTAGCGCTGATGCCGCTTAATGCGGTCTGCTGGTATTTGTTTTATAACTTCATTTTCAGTCATTTTTAGGTGATGGTTTTGGGGAAGTTTTTGCTCCTAACTCCATCAACTTGTAAATTTTGTTAGGATTAGCTTAGATAACAACTATGGAGCTTGCATACGGATGGTCCGGGGTGGATTGCTCTTAGATCGACATTGACAAACCGGTAGATCTGCGGTTCATTTCTCTCCCTCTTTGTGTAATCTTCTATGGTTGGGTTTGTATGTATATTTTATTTGATCTAATGTATATTTTTCGCTCTTGGCGTTATATAAAACTTGCTTTATGAATCTTTGTAGATTATTGTCCTAGATTTTTGCTCTATGCTAGAGATCGAGTTGTTATAGACATATACTGCTTAGGTTCTTATCTAGGATGATTAATCTGTTAGTTTTTGAACTCTAGAGATAGATTTAGAGTTGACAACCTACTTGGATATCAGAGCTTAAAGCCCCTGTGTTGTTTGTGTCGTTCTGAGAGATCGTCGATACAGGCGAGCACGATTGATTTCTATATTGTCGAGGTGGTTGAGAGGTCGCTACTGAGGCGATGCAGTAGACCTTTCAATTCAGGTTAGAAATGACTTAGGTTGTGAGTGATACGTAGTGACATTGATGAGTAATGTTAGGTTAAGTGTAACAGGTCGATAGGTTTAAGTCAGTAAGAAGTAGTATATATGCATACTTGATAAGTTCTTCCTTAGTTTTTCCTTTTGTTTACATTCATTTTCTGTTGATAACATTTTTCTTTACAAACCCCATTTATCCCGAAACTCATTAACGAATGATTTGTCGAATGACAATTCAGTAGCCAATCTATGTGGATACGATAAATTCCCGGATAAATATTTCCAAAAATTTTGTTGCTTGCCGCTATACCGCTGCAACACACCTATGTTCCTATCTTAGGTGCACTCTAAAATTACATTTTTCACTATAAATGAATATTCTAACAGTGGTGAAAAGTACCGTGATATCCAACTTATTACTACGACCAATAATCCATAGTGGAAAATAACACACTTGCAATCACATCTTTCTTTATCACGTACCATAACCCACGGTGAAATCGTTTATTCCAACTGTGGTGAAATATACTTTTTATAGTATTGTTTATTAAAGTTTTACAAGCTACATATCATATAATCATCTAATATCTTTTCAATAATGTAAGATCATATTTTATCTTTTCAATATAATTTCTTTTAAGATTTTTCTATCATTTCCAAGTTATCAAATTTATAAAGCTACTTTCTATCATGATTCTAGGAATCTTATATGATACAGTTGTCTCAATTTCAATCTTCACAAAACGGGTCATCCGCCGCCATTTTTTCTATGATTTTTGATCCACCATGGTTTATCCTGGACTATTCCATTATTGTTTCCATCAGTGGAAGAAATCAAAGATGGAGAAAAAACTCTTGTCATTGCCACCACTTTGAAAACCACCACAAGAACCTTGAAACAATTATTCTATTGCTTCAACTTTGACATAAACCTTAAATTTTGGTCAAGTTGATCAAGCTTGTCAATCCAGAAATCAAAGGATGCATTGTTAAAATCATTTAGCTTGCTTGCTTGCATGTTAATATTTATTTAGCTTGATTTTTTTGGGGCTTAATATTTAATTTTAGGGTTTGTTATAAGCTATTTAGTTTGACTTTGTATCCCAAACTCATATTAAGTATCAGTTTTTAGGGGCTAATAGAAGATAGAAGTTAGTTGGTTTGTTAGAGTTTATTATAAGTTGGTTAATGTTTTACAAGCTCTATATATAAAACATATCATGTAATCATCTAATATCTATTAAATAATGTAAGATCATCTTTTATCTTTTTAATATAATTCCTTTTAAGATTCTCTTATCTTTATGAATATTAATAAGTGGCGTGGAGATTAATGGTGTAGTTCTTCTTTTTCTTTATTATATATGTATTGTTCTTTTTAGCAATTTTACATTCAACTTTTTGTTCAAAAATAATTCAAACAAAACTAACTAGAAAGAATCACATTATATATATCAAAGTATTCTGAAAAAGAAAAAAAATAAATCAAGTACAAAATGTTAAGTTTGAGACTTATGTCATCAAATCTATATTCATATGTATAATTATAATATATATTTTAAAGATAAAGAAATTATGTATGTAATATATCTATAAATATCTTATTTTTGAACTAACATTATAGTCTACCATTTATTATTTCCGATGCTATTATCATATTTCAAAATTTACTTTGCATAATGAACTCCTAACCCTAAATATCAAATTTCAGTTTCTTTTCAGCATAAGTCATACGACTTTTGAACATTTCCCATTCTTCATGACATCTTTCTCTCACCTGATGCAAACCATATTTTGATATCAATCTTAAGGATAAACAATTCATCAAGAAATCCAAAATTGATATACATACCCCTTCCCAAGGTTCTCTTCCACTCTCTGCTTGCCCTTGGTTATTAAGTGAAGGAATACTTTTGTGGATAATCCATTGAGCATCAACAACTCCTATTTTTTCATGAGCAGACTATATCCAATACAAATTAAAATCATTAGGTTCAATATTGATAAAATATGTAATGCTTATAAAAACATAATAAACATTCATGAACTGCAGAGCCACTCACATGGGGTACTAGATACGACAGTGACACGTCAACATCAGTATAATTTGAAAGAAACTAATAAATTGAACGTGATCATAAATTTTGGTGTCGGGCCGATATTTTTGTTTGACACTAACACGTATACAAACGCGCTTTTTCCGAGATCAAGATAAATACAAACCTCCACACATTTTCTGAGAGCAAAATCAAGACCCCATCCATGAACTAGGTCATTCTACAAGGAAATGAATGTAAAATTAATGAGATTATGTGATGAAAAATATCAATATATTTATGACATAATAATGTTTATAAACCTGTATCATATGCCATACACAACGCCATGCATCTCTAGAAAATACAGGAGCCATGATCTCAACAAATCTGAGAATTTCAAATTAGTTTATTATGCACTAAAAGAAATATAATAATAAATGTTTATTTAAACGCTAAAAATGTATTTTCTTACGCAGCACAAGGTGGCACAGGTGGATTAGAACACCAACCATCTTTCTCCTCAGCTTCTCTATAAACATTGGATGACAAAAGTTTGATAACTAATATAATGTAATGACAATGTAACAAACTTATAGATAACTATTTATACAATATGTAAGAAATTTATACACTTACTTATGAACTTCAACACCATCCCTTCTTCTTGTCATTTCCCATGTATAACTACTACTTTGGTCTACACCAGGTTGTGAGATCTCCAAACCATATTTCTTTACTATTTTTAAGTACCTACAATACAACACACACATATTAATTTTACAAAAGAACTGAAACAGACTCAAATACGTTACTGGCATATCGACGCTGATAATAATTTTAAATAAGAAATAAAATGAATGTAATCATACGTGTCTATCATGTCAGTGGCAAACACCGAACATGTCTTTGTTTAGAAGTGTCGATTCTATATACGTTATAATATTTTATACTTACTCCTCTGCATCAAAGTGCTTCAACCCTAGATCCTCGTCCCAAATAAAGATGTAATCATAGGAGGCCACAATGTCAGGATGTAGAAACCGTTTAGCATACCACCTTCAACCAAATTACAACATATTTTATCTCATAAATATTTGATACAATAAAATACTCAATTATCTTGAAATTATGCTATACCAACCATTTAGTTTGCTTGCTAGCACTGATATGAATTGCTCTCTTTGACCACTCAAACTGATTCCACTCACTAATACGATCATCATAGTGGAATAACACAATAGTGAAGTTTTCAGAGAACTGTAATGTCAAGTCCAAGAATCATACAAAGAACAATACAAATACACATTACAAATATTAAGGTGGAAACATAAATTACCTTTTTTATTGATTTGTCAATGTTGTGTCTCTGGTCATAACCAACTGTAAAAGTTACAAGATACTTTGGTTTCATGCTTAGGTCCTATAAGTGCCACCTCCATCAAGAAAAGAGACCGATTAGAGAACATGAAATTCTAGCTCATAATTTCTCAAACTTGTTCGATGTTAATCATGCTAACACATGTAGTTTTTTTTTTTTAAGGATAATATAGAAAACACAACAATAACAAAACCACAACCAAGGAGAAACAACCAGAAAATAAAACTTTAAAAGAACACCCACACACCAAAGCATGAAACTTTAAATATAACTTATCCATAACCACACCAAGTATGTTGGATATAACTTTGTCTACAATCTCATAAAGAGACCCTACAAGGAAATATCTCAATAACAATTCTAAATTCTAAATTTTGAGACAATTGAATAAACAATTATATGTTTAACTAAGTTTCTTGTATGATGAATTTGCATACATGATATGGTAGACCCCATAACCGACGAAGATAGAAATCTGATTGAGATTCGATAATTCTAGAGGGTAACCTTTCAGCTCCTCGAGGATTTGTAGGTATCCAAATCTACATTATAATCAAATGTACCTATTAATAAGTGCAATATTCCAATATCTCAAATAGAGGTAATAGTAACAAGAGTAGATGATCACACCTTTCTATTCTCATTGAGTTTGCGAAACTCTTTAGACATGTGTCTATCACTTTTAAGATGCCGTGAATATATGCTAGGAATTTTGTGATCAATGGATGGAACAAGGTTTGATGGGAGATTCATCTAACAAATAATATAGATTACAACATTGTTATTATCAATTTGATTAATCACTTAAAATGCCACTTGAAGAAGATTACACACACCTTTGTTAAAGGTAGTGCTGGAAATGATAATCCTATAAAGATACCAAAAACAAATCCAACAAATAATGCTATCGAGGTCTTAATTGCTCCTTTATGTACTCTAATATTAACACTACATAACAAAAACAAAAATATATTAGATGAAGTAGACGTAGTAGCTAGGAAGAGTAATTCATGACATAAAATATATATATATATATATATATATATATATATATATATATATATATATATATGCAAGAGTGAAGACACACCATTTTATAGGAGAGACCATTGTTGTATTCAATATCTTGTGGAGTATGCACTCAAAAGTGAGAGCAGAGAAATGAAATGATGAAAATGAATTGCGATTTGCGATTGTGTAACAGATCTGTAAAATATGGGATTGTAAAGGTTGTGTAGTTTGTGATTGTGATTTTGTGTCATTTGAGATTCTGAAAACGGTTGTAAACCAATAATACATTGAAATGGGAAAAACATGCTAACCATTTTTTAAGATATATGGACTCATGATTTGGTTATTTTATTCTATTTAACTTCTCTTTTTTCTCTTATCTATCACACTTATTTGAAGAAAAAATAAATTCTTATTAATTGACTTGGCATTTATGTTCAATGATGTTTTTTCTTTTAATTGTGAAAAAAAGATGTTAGTAATTTGACTGTTTCAATTCAATCAACCTTAATAAATCAAGGATCACTCACTTCTGACTCTTTCAATCCATTTCAAATCAATCAAAAAAATCAACAATATATCAAATCAGGTCATCTACAACAAACCGTTTTCATATTTTCATGTACATTAATTAAGAAACTTGTAAAGCTTAAAAAAAATTAAAAACTGATAAAATATATGTCATTGTTAGATATAAAAAAAGAAATTTGTCAATAATGTTCATAAATTTTTAATTTATTTATAAATACTAATATTATTAAGTTGAACACTTTGGAATTTGAGATTATCACATTTCATTATGCGTGAATTTTTAATAATTACTTTTCTTGATCTATAAATTAAAAAAGTATATATAAAATTAAAAAAAGTAAATATATAAAGGTATAATAAAAAATTTATATATATATTATGATTTACAAAAATACAAGTTATAATAATGAGATTTATATAAAATTTAAAAATATTTATTTTTGAAAACAATATATTTCACCACTTGATTCTTTCAAATGTGCATAACACCTATTTATTACATCGGTTATACACAACAACTATGGTGGAAAAGTTGTGATACACGCCATTTTTAAAGGCTAAAATAATGTTGTAGGGTATCGACTTCATGACCTTTCTATTTTTTGTGAAAAAGATTTATTTTTTAATTTAATTTTGATGAAGACAAAAATTTATATTAGAAGAAATATCAAAGAATAAAAAGATTAAGATATTTATGAACAAGTGTTGATCTATGATTAAGCTAATTAAGCGAAGAATCGACTTAAATGATCATGTTTAAAAGTTCATTATAATTCATGATATATTTTTTAGATGTTCAAAATATTTCATACATTTTTATCCCTAAAGTTTCTAAACTATCATGCATAAAAAATATTCAAATATTACCTTTAAAAAAACTTATTTTTTGAATTTCCAAGTGAACTAATCGATTGACACATGTCTTCAAACATTATGTTTTTGGTAAATTATGGCATTTGAACCTGTCGTAACAACACATTAAAAGCGCCACAACTTGTACCGAATTAAAATAATATTTTTAATTTAAATTTATTTCTGTTTTGTGACATTTTAAACCGTTACTATTTTTACTGGTTGTTCACCCTGATTCTAAAATAATAGCATCGCCACTATTTTAATATTTAAAAAAAAACATATTATTTGGAAAATTATGAATCATTGTGATTCCAGATCATTGCCATTGATCATGAAACTTTTCCAATATTGTATCAAATCAAAGAGGCATAATGGAATATAATTAAGTTAAAAAACATTAGTTTTTCTATCACCTCTTTCGTACATCCTTTTTACATAGTTCAATCAACTTTTTAAAGTGTTCATATTTCCATCAAAAATAAAATTTTGTGCATAGCTTTCGTATCATTGAAAAGTGATCTTATCTGATCAGACTTGGACCGTCACGACTGACTCCGGGCAGAATTTGAGTGAGAAGGGGGGGGGGGGGGAGGGTACCTGCGAGGCACTCCGATGCTAAAATGAGTGACGGAATGAGCAAACAAAAAGTGTATGTATGCGTAAGAGATGAATACCTGACCCTCTAGGAACAAAGAGTATTTATAGCCCCCAACGCGGGGCCAAGGTCCCCTCATTGGGCCGACCAGAATTGGCCCAATAAGGGAACTGCCAGGTTCTACGTGTGTAATGGGGACCCGCACGTGGTCCCCTTCCTGGTGGTGCTCTGCGAGAAATGAGGAGGGACGAAGATGCGGTCTTTCTGGAGTTTAGATGATTTGGTAACGGTCAGAATCTGCCCTACGAGGAGGGTGCTCGAGCTGGGCTCGAGCTGGAGTTTCCGTGGTCGGGGACACCATGTGTCGCGGGCAACGGCGGGCACGGCTGCAGTCTGTGGTCGGGCGCACTGGCGGGAATTCGCGGGCGCGCGTTCCTCGAGGAGCTACTTGGATTGGGCCTTTGTTCTTGCTTTTGGGCCAGGGCAGGCCCAGTCCAGAACAGGAGCCCCCCAAGTCGTGGCTCCTGGAGCAGAAGATATGACTTGACTTCAGCTCGCCTTTGCCACGGGGTCTGATGCCCGGCCCAGGATATTGCTTCCTCGTGATTGCTCGAGAAGTTTCTCATGAGTTGTGTTCGTGGCGTAATCCTCGCTGGTGCGTGCTCGGGGATTCCTCGCGGGCTGTGTTCATTGGGTACACGGGGCAACCCTTGGGAATCGTGATGCCACCCTAGCGACATTAGGGTCATCATTGCCTAGGGGAGTAGACGTCGAGGAGGGGAAGTTCGTGGTTCCCCGGGGCGACGTTTCGTATTCCACGTCATCCCTATAAATAGGATCCCTGGGTCCCATAATTTGTTTTTCCTCTTCGCGCCTCTCCTTCTTCCTCTGCCTTTTCCGCCGCTGTTCTTCTACAACTTCGCAAGATTACCGCACCTTCCTCCGTTGATTCCCTTTACCGCTGCCGTACATTCTTCTTTACTTCCAAGTAAGTGTTTATCCCTCCTATTTTTCTTCGTTGTAGGTAGTTTTACCGTTATTTGGATGTTAGAAACCCATATCTGGGATTAGTGCCTGATACATTCATGTTTGTGCCTGGTAAACTCATAGCTTTAGGTATGTGACTCGCGATGCTGCCCGGGACCTTCATGGTTTTGGGCGCATAATCTATGATACTGCCCGGTAAACCCATAGTTCTAGGCTTAGGATTCATGATATTGCTCGTCACATTCATAGTTTAGGTCGGCGCACCCATGAGCTGGCCGGGATGTTGACCCATTAGGAAGTATGTAGGACAACTCGTCGTGGCACCTTAGTGTCGGGGAGGCGAAACCAGGATCTTGTTCGAGTCCTCAACGTTTTATCGCGCGCGGAGTGTGTCTTGGCTTTTCATGCACTACTTCCCGTCAGTTATGGCGAGCATATGGATTTGCTCTCGAATTTCACCGGTTTCCTGTACTTTGCAGGTAAATGGCTGACGAACCGGAGTCTTTGAGGCGTAATGAGGTCGAGAACCAGAGTGCCGAGGAGAATGTAAATCTAGTTGATATCGTCGATGATCCTTCGTTGGATTGGGTGGGCTCTGAGCCCCGAGGGATTGCCTCGGCATATAGTCGGCGTAGTCGGCGCGCATACACTGTCGTTCAACACGGCGGTAGTCAGCCAGGCTTCCAAAAGAATTTTGTTGTGACAAGGCCGACCCTCGACGCACGAATCTGCTCGGAGTTCTCCGAGTATGGTTTTCCAATGTATGAAATCGCGTTCAAGGATCTCGGCCTTAAGCTCCCTTTCAGTGATTTCCAAGTCGGGGTATTCTGCCATCTGGACTTGGCCCCCTCGCAGCTTCACCCTAATTCGATCGCCTTTCTTTGGGTGTTCAAGATGACATGCCGCTTCTTGAGGCTCAGGGCGACCATTCCTCTTTTCTTTAAAGTTTTTCACTTGTAGCGCCAGTCTCGAGGAGGCAGGCATAGCTGGGTTTCCCTGAAACGATCGAAGAGGCTGTTCAGGATGTACATGGATTTGGTCCGGGGTTTCAAGGACAAATGGTACGTCCTGCAGCCGGTCACCCAGGATGCTTTGGATTCTATGTATGAAGAGGAAACCGCAGTGGCCGACGAGAACGGGGAGCCTCTTATGGACGCTGAGGGTCGCCCGGTGGTGGGGCGTGTATCCAAGCTCTCGTTGCATTGGTGCTCGCGCCATTACGAGCATGGTACCGAGCACTACCATACGCCCGTGGGAGGAATGAGTGCCGAGGATGAGGAAGCTTATGGTATCCTTTGCAAGTATGTTGACAACTTCTTCCCTGCTCGATGGGTCACGAGGGAGGGGGAAGACATTCTCGACGAGGAAGGTTACCCGACATTCGAGGCCCGTCCTATCAATACCAAGGCGCTTGTCGAGTGCCAATCTTATGGGCAGGCCGTAGATCTACTAGGTTGCTTTTTGTCTTGTAGTTTTGTTCGTTTCTTTGTTTGTTACTTGCTCGTAACTAACCCGAGTTTTCTTTTTTGCAGGCAATATGGCCGAAAAAAGGGAGAGGCTTTTAAAACTGTCTCAAGACAAGAGAGTAAACAGAAGGTTGGTGCGATCTCCACAGGCCACGAGGATGGGCCCGCCGACCAGTTCAGGCGATGCTTCTAGCGGGTCCCCGGGCTCCCATGACGTCGAGCAGCCCACTGAGCTGATAACGAGAAAGAGAAGTCGGGCAGAGAACCAGTCGGAAGTTGGCGACGAGTCTGTCGTAGTGAGGGCCTTTGGCTTGCCCCCCTGTTTTAAAGATGAAGGTTTCTTCGAGGGATTTCCCTTGACAGTGAGCATCGAGGAGGCTGAGACCATCAGGCGGCTCAACAAAGAAAGTTGTAGAAAACACCTGGCCGCCAGTATGGTCGGGATGGTTAAGATGGCCGAGATGGCCGTTGTCCTCGTTGAGGAGGGGTCGGACTCCTCTGACCGCGTCAGGGAACTAGAGTTGGAGAAAGTTGCCCTCGCTGCCGGCTCTCGTAAGTTGAAGGCTGCTCTAGAGCGATCTGAGGAGATGTTCCGTGAACAAGCCGAGCTGCTGGCCGTGGAGAAGGAAAACTCGGGGAAGGTTGCTAAGGAGAGGGACTGTTTT